AGGTGTCTGCCGAAGAGAGAAGGAACTCACTCCTGGTGGCAGGGGAGTTGCCACAGAGTGGAAAGCCGGTCATCCATTGGCAGTACCCTGCGGAGGGTCTATAATCACGTGGGGCTCACGCTCTCAGTGCAAGTCTAACGTGGGGCTTCAGGGTTTCTCTGTTTCAAAATGACTCGATAAATCTCCTCAGGAAGGCAGTGGCTGCGGAATGCGGAACAAAGTCTGGAGGCCCCAACAGTCAAGGATGGAGGGCAGCCCCCCTTCCCCGAAAGCGCGGCCGGTTCCCTCTGCCCATGTGAGCGCTGCCTTCCCACTGCTTCCCTGGGGGCCCAGCCAGCACCGCCTGCATGTGCCGAGGCTTTTCCGGTAGAGCCCACCTTCGCTCCCTCCCCAGCCCTGGTTTCCAGCTGGTGGAGGGGAGGCACAGCCACGTGAGGGTGCAGGACGGCCTGTCCTGGCCACAGAGGGCCACAGCTCCTGCCGGACAGCCCTCTTGGGGTTCCTACACCTGCCCCCCTTCGTGGGTGGTGCCACAGGGCGGCAGCTGGTCCCCTGTTGCTGGCTCCGGAAGGCTGTGCCCCTCTCATTGGTATCCCTGCACTCCCATCCACTAAATTCTCCCCCAAGGCCCTGATGTCACGTGACATCCGGCTCCTGCCAGGACCTGAGTGATACATACAACAGACTTCTTGTCAGCATTTGTAGGTGCAAGTTGTTGGAAAGGCAGCACTTTTGAGGGAGGGCTGTGGTCCTGGGTGGTGAGAGGGGGGACCTCCCCACTGCCAACACCGCCCCACCCCGTTTCTTTGTATCCCCCTGCCCCGGACCCACATCGGGTCCTCTCTGACCATCTCTCCTGGCTCCAGATACCCGGATCCTACCCCGACTCCACCAGAGCAAGTCCATCCAGCCACTAGTTGCTGGGACCTCCCACTGTCAGGGCCCCCAGACCTGGCCCCTGACCACAGGGTACGTGGTAACGTGGATATGAACGTGACCTGGCCCCTATCCCCGAGGGACCTCAGTGTTCCTGCTGGCCCACGGTCAGCGCCCTGTTCACCTGGAAGCCCTGACAGCTGACTCCCTGCTCCTGTCATTGACTTGACAGTGTTTGCTAGGTGGCCCCCAAGTCTGGCTCTCCTCTGAGCAGCCCCATCCCCTTGCTGGCCACACCACCCCACCCTCTTGGCCACCCTACCTGAGTGGAGAGCCTTTCTAGGTCCGGCTGAGGAGCAGGAAGGCCACAGCTGGGCTGCTCCTTTCTGTGCCTGCCAGGTGGGGACGCCCACCTCCTGTCTGCGCTGCACTCCTCACCCCTGCACCCCACCCTCAGCCTGGGCCAGCTCAGGAGCTTATAGAATCCTGGGCACCCTGACCTTTTTCTCTTCCTGTTGCTGTTCTAGAATGTGCTTTGAACATAAGTTATTCCAGGAGTCTCTGCGAACCCCTTCAAATCTTAGTGCCAAGAGCAAATACTGATGAGAACAGTTCCTCCTCCGGAGAGACCCTGACTTTGGCCTAATTGGCATCCTGCCATCCACGTTTCCTCCGCGTCTGTGTTGCCTGTTGAGACAGGCTGCTCACTGTTGACCCACACGTGCACAGCGTGTCTTCACTCCGCGTGGGATCTTCATGTAGACCTGCCCCCTGGCGAGCGCCCCATGCCTTTCCTGGGTGCTTCCCTCTCAGAAGTGGTGGGGGAGGTGCAGGAAGGCATCCCCTCCCCCCAGGAAGCAGTGCCTTTCAGTGACCATTCACTGGCTTGCGCGCCCGTCCCCAAAGACGGTCCTTGAGGCCGGGGCTCAACCTTCACCGTCTGCCTTCCTGGGTTTGCCAGGCCCTGCCTCCCTGGCCTCCGTGAGCCGTCCAAACACAGGCAGGGTCCGGCATGTCTGTCCCACCAACAGCACTCTGCATCTGCTTCTAGCTGCCTGGTCCTCCCGCCTGCCTCCTGCCTCACGGGATCTGTAGGGATTAGATTCATGTTAGGGGGCCCTGTTCCTCTGCGTGCTTAAGACACTGTATTTCATCAGTTCTAAGACGCTTATTTTCTCGCATTGAACGTTTCTGAAATAAAACGTGTCCATGCTTAATGGCGGATCATAGTTTACGCGTTAGCCTTTTTAGGGCTATGCGTAATAACGTGTATCTTAGCATCGATGCCTCTTAAGTCCCACCTCCAGCGTGCCCCCCTCAGACGCACATTCCTGGCAGAGAACCCTCTTCCACACTCGCATATGAGCCGTTTCCCTTTGGCTTTCTTTGGTGGTTTCACATCCTCGTTCCATACGCCTAAAAGCTTGTCGTCCATTAGCTGCAAATTCTTTGGCAAGGTGACACTCACCACGGCCGCTTTAATGGAAGTGAGTTCATCGACCTTGCATCATGTCAGATTATTGTTGTTATTCTGCTCATTTTTGGTTTTGAACCTATTCTTGTTGCTTTTGAGAAGGTCTGCTGCTCAGAGATTTCTGGTTCCATAATGTTTGAAAGAGATTGCTTAACATGGGGCTTTGCGACAATAGGGAATGTATTGAAAATAATCTTTAAAAAAACCCCTTTGTTAAACTATAAATTTACTAACTGGCTTAAACAGCACAGTCACACACACATAGCCTCACGTACAGATTTACACGCGCGTGGTGCAAATGCACAAACGAATACACTTGGAGAGACAGAGAGGCCACGTGGAGAGCCGAGGTGAAAGTCAGGTGGATTCTTGTTGAAGGCAAATGCATCCTCACTACAGCATGGGGTTAACCACCAGGAGCAGGGCCTCAGGGACAGGTCTGAGTCCTGGTCTGTTCCCAGAGGTCTGGGTCTGTCCCGGTCTGGGTCATGCTGCTTCGTTTGCTATCCCAATCCCACTTACCTGTAGCCCTTCGTGAAGACCTCCAGTCCAAGCAGCCACCCCCAGCCTCCCACGTCAGTCCCAACCATGCTGGAGTAATGGGTACCTGACTTGGAGGTGGGCAAGTCAGGACGGTCCGGCCACACTAAGCCAGACCCCCTGCGTTCGCCCACCTGGCAGGCTTTCCATCCCCCACCCTATTGTCCTGTTGGCCTTCCTTCCCACCTGTGGTCAGTCCCAGCCCCTTCAGCAAGAAGGCTGCTGGCAGCCCCCAGGGGAGCATTTGGACCTCTGGTTTCAAACTCCAGCGATGGCACCTTCTCAGCTTATTGTAAAATTCCATGACTGACAGCGGGCGCCTGGGTGGTACAGTCTGTTAGGCACCCGATTCTTGATTTCATCTCAGGTCATGATTTCACGGTTCATGAGATCGAGCCCGACATCAGGCACTGCGCTGACAGCATGAAAACTGCTTGAGATTCTCTCTTTCCCTCTCTCTATGCCCCTCCCCTGCTTGTGTGCACTCTCTGCCAATATAAATAAATAAACATTTTGAAAATAAATAAATAAAATTACATGACTGCCGTGGACAAGATGAGTGTTATGAAAATGCAGATGAACTTAGTGTTAGGACCCAGATGGCTGTGCTCTGACTCCAGGGAAGCCCCGCCCAGAAAGGGGCGTCCTTTTGTATCATCCCTGTGCCCACCAACAGCCTGGTCCCTTTCCCCTGTCCAGCTGCACCAGGCTCACTGCTCCTCCCCAGAGCCCGGCTACATCTCCCTCCTCCACCCAGGGCAGCAACCCCACTCAACCGCTTCTTGGCTGGATCCGGAACACCCGGGCTCACACTGTCCACGTTTGCCCTCTGTGCCAGAGGGAGGGAGAAGTCCAAGATGCCTCTGGGTTTCTGGCTATGCCAGTGGGGACATGATGCTGCCATTCCTTGAGACAGGGAGCACGAGGAGAGGCAGGCAAAGTACTGGACAGGAAGGGTGGACAGGACTTGGGGACACGGTGGGTTAGGAGGGTAGGGTACTGCATTCAAGAGAAGGTGAGTCTCCTTGCGGTTCTCACATCCAGCCCTGCCGCCTGATGGCTTCTTGGTATGGGCGGGGCCTCAGTGGGTGGAGCCTCCATTAGCAATGCTGGCTGCCCAAGGCCCACCTTGAATTTTTTGCTGGAGCCACTGTACAAGCAAGAGGAAGGAGACCTGGCCCCAGGGCATTTGAACAGCACTGCAGAATCACCTGCGGGCTCCTCTGTCATCAGCAACAGAGATATAAATCAGGGAAAAATACTGTGCTGCCTCACCATTTTTCTGAGCTTTGATAAAACAGAATTTTAGCAAATGAAAATATTAAAATTAAAGCAAAACAATTGCCAGAATAGATTGCCTTGTGTTTAAAGATAAATTATCTTGGGCGGGGGGTGGGGGTGGTGAGAGGAAATAAAAATAATTCCCCAACAGAACACACATATACACACAGTCTAGAAAAACTTATTCCCATGTATTAAAAGTAGGTCTAGGGTGCCTGCACATCTCAGTTGGTTGAGCATCCGACTTTGGCTCAGGTCATGATCTCATGGTTTGTGGGTTTGAGCCCCACATTGGGCTCTGTGCTGACAGCTAGGAGCCCGGAGCCTGCTTCAGATTCTGTGTCTCCCTCTCTCTCTGCCCCTCCCTCACTCACACTCTGTCTTTCTCTCTCTCAAAAAAAAAAAAAAAAAAAAAAAAAAAAAAAAAAAATTAAATTAAATTAAATTTAAAAAAAGTAGGTCTCTTGGGGTTTGGGACTACAGGTGAGTTCTTTTTTAAAAAAAGGCTGTATTTTCTAATTTTGCCATAATGAAAATGTATTCCTTGTATAACCAAATGCTTTTTAAAATAAAAGTTAAAAAAAACAAACAAAGAAAAAGAATCTTTAAAACTGTCCTATTTGTGCCTTTTGCAGACTGGCTCTTGGGGCTGCTGGTTCCAGGATGTGAGGGTGTGGGCGTGGCGGACAGACACTGCGTGGGAGCCCAGGGCTTTTTCTGGATCGAGGTCACTCCCTCGGCCTTGTTGGTCTCTGCTACAGGTGGCCTTTGTGGTTAGGTGATGTCCCAGCCAGTTCAAATGTGTTTCTGTTTGGGGTTCTGTCCTCAGGCGTCCGAAGGTGTCCCCATGAGGTTCTTCACCAAGCTGGACCAGCTCATCGAGTTTTACAAGAAAGAAAACATGGGTCTGGTCACCCACCTGCAATATCCAGTGCCCCTGGAGGAGGAGGACGCAGGTGATGAGCCAGAGGAGGACACAGGTAGGAAGGGGTGGACGGGAAGGCAGAAGGGGAACAGGGACCCTCTAAGCACTATGGGGGGAGAAGCCCCGGGATGTTTCTTTCACTACAAGGCCTTGTAGATTAAGTGAGTCTGATTATCAGAGGGAGAGAGGGTGATGTGGTGGCTAAGGACAAGCTAGCAAGGTAGCTCTAGGGTCAGACAGACCTGGGTCAGACTTCCTGTTCCCCAGCTTCATAGCTGTGTGACCTTGGGCAAACTACTTAACCTCTCTGAACCACAGACTTCTCTTAAAGAGACAGTAAAAATAATATGTACCTGTCGGGGTGTCACCAAATGAGTCAATGAATGTAGTACACAGTAAGCACTCAATATATGCAGCTCCCATCCTCATCAAAATAACTAGCTGCATTTCACTGTAAAGAGAATGGATGAGGAAATACTTGTAACTAACTGGAAGGCCTGTGAGAGAGGTGTTTCTTTATATCATCTCTAAAAGGAAAAAACAGTAGAGCCCCTGAAAAGTCTGTGAGAGTCAGGCCTCCCCTTAAAACCGTGGAGGGCCACAGACCAGTCAAACAGGAGCCCGGCAGAGGACCCTGCAGCACAGAACCCCACCTGGACGGCACCCTTTTCGCCTCAAAAGTTTGCTTTCTGGGGCGCCTGTTCAGCTTAGTCAGTTAAGCGTCCGACTCTTGATTTCAGCTCAGGTCATGATCTCATGGTTTGTGGGTTCGAGCCCCACACTGGGCTCTGCACTGACAGTGTGGAGCCTGCTTGGGATTTTCAGTCCCTCTCTCTCTGCCCCTCCCCTGCTCGCGCACTCTCTCTCTCTCTCTCAAAATAAATAAATAAACGTTTAAAAAAAAAAAGTTTACTTCCTAAAAGAAAACCTGAGATAAGTAACTGAGCCCTTCAACTGGTCAGGGTTCCTCCTAAGTCCCAGGGCCTGGAAACAGGTCCCCTGGACTTGCCCCCCCTAAGAGGGGGCAGGTTAGACCAGAGATGCTGAGGTCCCTGGGCTGGCTCCCACCCTGTCCCTGCAGGCTGCTGCCCGCCATGTGCTGGGTGCCCTTTTCACCCCACTCCCACGGGCTGGCTTGTGGGCCACGGGCCCATCTTCCTCCTGACTTCCTGGGGACCCACTCTGAGTGGTTGCACAGTTCATAGACCGCCTCAGCAGAGGAGGTGAGGGCCAGGCAGAGTGATGGAAAAGGACCGAAGCTCCGTGGAGACTGAGACGAGGCCCAGGCAGCCCGTGTCCCTTCTCACCTCCCTCCGCTGAGTAAGAGGCGCCCTCATCTGAAATAGCCCCAGATGACGTGTTCCTGGGCGAGTCCAGGGTCACTCACCTGCTCCATGCCACGGCCACATGTCCCCCGGCTGTCCCCAAGGCCTCGGCCTTGATGCTGAGAAGCCGTCTTGCAGAAATGCCCTTCACACGCTGGTGTCCTCACTCCCAGCACACCTGATGGCTTTCCGGGGATGGCTGTCTGGAGAAAGACCCCGGCACCCTCACTAGCAGCTGGGAAGAGAAACCCAGTCTCGTGACGGCTGGCTTCACTTCCCCAAAGGAGGCGCAGTTGTGGGCTCGAACCCAAGCAGTGTGACAGTCACCCCCTCCGCCCGGTCCAGGGGTCTGATTTGGCTCAGGTCTCAAGGTGCTGCCAGTCCCCCAGGGCTCAAAACGCACTCATATCACCGAAAGAACCCCAGGCCACGGAGAGTGTGACGAGCTCATCCTTTAAAGATAATGTCCCCGGGGCAGCCCTGTGGCAGGGGGCCCTGGTGTGGCCATTCGGTGTGGGAGGAGGCCCCAGACAGGAGGTCTTGGACCCAAGGGGCTCGGATCCCTCGTCCATTTGTGCTGTGCACAGGAGAGCAGTTCCCCTGAGGGTGAATGTGCAGGAGTCCTTTCTCCCAGGCCAAATTCAAGTTGTTTGTTTTATACTTCAGTTCTCTGGGTGAAGGAGGCCCTCGCTTTCTCTATTTGTCTCCTAGGGTATGGTGGGGAGAGAAGGAACAGCAGAAGCTGGAGGGAAAGCAGAGGAAGGGGGGGGGTGGGAGAGAGAGGAGCCGGGCCTGCTTGCTCCCCACCCTTGCGCCTCCTGTCTGGGGAACTGGGCCTGTGCCCCATCCAGGGCTCCTGCCTCAGCCCCGAAAGCTGGCCTTCCCGCTGAGGCTGCTGGCTCCACCTGTCCAAGGCCAGCAGCCCTGCCCGGTGCCCAGCTGGCGGGTGTTTGCTGAGCGCCTCAATGGGCCAACCTAGCCGCATGGCCAAAGACTTCTAAGACCGGGTCCCTGTCATCAGCAGGCCCCCCATCTAGTCAGGGAGCAGAGACAGAGGGGACCATGCAGGCACAGATGGGGTCTGTAACTGGGCGCAGCGGCCTGGACCCCCCCTCCCCGACACGGGAGGGGTCACTACGCCAGAGACCCTCTGTAGCGGGGGGTGACCCTGAGAGAAGCGAGTGCTCAGACCAAATGGCGTTCCTGCTCTTCTCTTGAGTAGAAGGTGTCCTGTCCCCTCCTGAGCTGCCACCGAGAAACATCCCTTTACCTGCCGGGCCATGTGAGGCCAAGGAGGCCCCTGCTTCCAGCGAGAATCCGAGAGCCACCGAGGTCAGCTGGTCGAGCCTTTCCGAGCTATTGCTTCAGCGACTGCAGAGCATAGACACTAGTGGGTGAGTCCCTCCACCACGTGGCTCGCGTCTCAGAGGCCCGCCTCCGTCCCCACCACGCCCTGCTGCCTGGCAGGAGCTGGTTATGGACGGACGAGCCGTCCTCCGCTGCGGAGGCCTGGTCCAGACGTCAGGGGCCTATGCTGTGATCCCCTGCCCGGGGCTCGCCGTGAACCGCACGTGGCATCCTCTCGCATCACAAATATCGCGACTGCCGTGGGGTCCATGGAGTCCGATGGGCCACAGAGGGTTCACTGCAGGCTGGACCTGCCATGTGGCCCTTTCCTGCTCTGGGCCCAGCTCCGAGGGGGCCACCTTGGTCACCCGTACATCAGCCAGATCAGTGTCTCTGTGTATGGTATGGGCTGTGATCTACACCGCACGCCTCTCCTTTCTCCGTGGGACATGCAGTCATTCTAATTCTTTAGAATCTCCTTGATTTGAGTCCAGGCTCCCGGGATCTTGTCCCGTATGTAGGCCCACACTGGCTCCTACGGGTCCGTGTCGATGAGACCCTGCAGCTTCCTTGCTGTGTCCTCCTGTGTCTCTCTCAGCAGGCCCAACACTTCCCCTGCTGGATGGTGGCAAGTGGGGGTATCGTGTGGGAGGGGTGGGAGTTGTGTTACAGACCACAGGCCCTGAGTACAAGACCGGCCAGGGCGGGTGGCCTTAACAGGAGGGAGCTCTCTGAGGGGAAGGATGCCCCAGTGCCCAGCACATTGCCTGGCACGGAGGAGGACTGCCCAGGTGGTGCTGAATGAGCTAATAAGTTAGTACGCGGTGACTTCCGTGCATTAAGAATCTTAAAAATATGTTTTTTTGTTTGTTTCTTTGTGGGAAAAAGGCCCCCTCAAAGAATATCGAGGGGCTGATGCAGGGCTAATTAGCTTCAGGGCTAATGCAATCTCTCTAGCCTGAAGGATCAGTGAGGACAGCTCTCCCACCATCCGATTTGGCAAAATACAGAGGAAATGCCTCAAAGTACACACGAGCCGCCTGGTTGCTAGGCTACCTGGTGTTGTTATATTTCCACTTTGAATACCCCTGGATTCTTCTGTAGGCCCACCAGGTCACATCCTGTGTGCACTCCTTGAATGACTTGTGTTGTCCCTGAAATAGCTAAATCCCCAATGTTTTCAACCTGTCGAGGTGTTATCACCCCTACTCCCTCCTTGTGTGCACATAACAACTACTTAGTAAACCATTCCGTATAGAGCCATCGTGCAGTTTCCACGAGGGTCTGTTTCTCTCCAGGGTTAGATGCTAAATGGACTGAGCTCCTTGGGGAAATAGGCTCCCGACTCCCTGGCATGTCCTGGTCAGTCCCTCCTCTCTAGGGACAGGTGCTCTCTCGGGCCGCCCGGCACAGTGACACAGGACGAGGTGTGCAGCCTCGAGAGAGAGGGCAGGGGGCGGCTGGGGGCTTGTGTGCTCTCTGTTTCTGCTCCTCAGCTAACACATGGCAGTGGGGCCCTCCTCACACTTCTGCTGGAGCTGGGGATGAGTAAACGGAGCACGGTGGCGGGACCACGGAAGCAGTGACACAGGGCTTGTCCTCTGTGCTCTTCTGGGTCGTGGAAGACTGAGATTCTGCCTTGTGTTTTTTTTTTTGTTTTGTTTTGTTTTTTTT